AGGATCCCGTGAAAATCCACGCGCGGGAGGAGCTCGGGATCGATGTGGATGATCTCGCCAATCCTATCCAGGCAGCGCTCGCGTCCGCAACCGCGTTTTCCTCCGGGGGGATGATTCCCCTGCTTGCCGGGGCGTTTGTGGAGGGATTCAAGCTCCGGATGATCGCATTGGCGGTGTCAACCAGCGCTGGGCTCTTCATTTTCGGGGCGATTGGGGCGTGGATGGGCGGGAGCCCGCTGCCAAAGTCGATTGCAAGGGTCGTGCTGGGAGGATGGATGGCAATGCTTGTCACGTTTGGAATCTTGCGTCTCTTTAGCAAGGTAGCTCCCATCTAAAATTACTTGTGTGTCTATACGAGTGTGGTGGATTCAAGTAAATAGTTTTTCTTGTGCTTGCTTTGCTTGTGTGTAAACATTTTTTTTACAAGTGAATGGGAAATCTACTTTGTAACTAGTGATTAATTAGAACACATAAGCCAACTTACTTCTACGTCGTTTTAGTGCATGGACGAACTCCTGAAAGAGTTGAGAGCTCTGACGGCGCGAGCTCCGCCACGAAGAATGTATTGATGATACATTGCGGCGAGCGCAGCTCCAAGAAGCGGTCCAACCCAGTAAACCCACTGGAGATCCAAACAAACGAATTTTTTCTTTCTTTCGGCTGCGAATTAAATGCGGAAGAACCAACTTACCTGATCGTTCCAAACTCTGCTGTTATTGTAGATGACAGCCGTTGCAAAGCTGCGAGCCGGATTCACACTCGAGCCAGTCACGGGCAGCAGAGCCAGGTGAACCATGAACACGGCGAATCCGATCGGGAGCGGAGCGAGGACCTGAAAATCAAAACTAGAACTAATTAGTTCCACTACAACCCGCGGCTGCTAAGTCTGAGTCAGTCAAGTTCCCTGTAAGTCAAGCAGGGAGTCACGATCAACCTGAGTCGATCCTTGTTTCTTTTCCTCTCTTTTTGGCGCTCGGCATGAATCCAGAAGCACAGGAGAAAAAGAGCAAGAAAAAGGGACTAAGAATGAATGACTATTCAGGATGAAAGAGGAAAAAGGTGGAAAAGAGGCATGAGAAACACTTACCGGAACGTGAGAGTCACGAGCAACTCGTTTGGGATCAGTGGCGGAGAAGACAGTGTAAGCGAGCACAAAAGTCCCGATGATCTCAGCGCCCAGTCCCTCGGCTTTGGTGTAGCCATTCTGGATGAAAGTGGCGCCACCCATGTTGCCATTGTAGAAGCTGGCCTGGAAGCCTTTGGCCAGCCCCGCCCCAAAGATCGCGCCCGCGACCTGGGACGCAACGTAGAGCAGCGCACGGGGAATCGAAACCTTCCGGGCCAAGAACATGCCAAATGTAACGGCAGGATTTAGATGACCACCTACACAGCCAGAAGAAATCTGTGAGATCTCTCTCTCTCTCTCTCTCTCTCTCTCTCGGATATGGATCCCAGGGATTTCTTGTTCTTGGGAGGAAGCTGGATCGCGGAGAAGAATTGGGGAAGAACAGAGTAAAGAAATCGCCAATGGCGGCACGAACTATTTTGAAAATCAAGAAACGAGAAAGAAGCGGCAAAACAAGACGGGCAATCGGAGAAAGAAAGCGATGGATGAATCGATGCGTACCAGAGACGCCGGCCGTGCAGTAGACGAGGACGAAGATCATGCCGCCGAACACCCACGCGACGCCCAGCAGCCCAATCCCGCCGCAAGAATCCCCGCCCGCGGCCGCCTGCGCCCTGGCGTGCCCGATGAGCGCAGTGACGCCAATGTAGAGGAACAAGAGCGTGGCAACGAGCTCGACGATGCAAGCCCGGTAGAGCGACCACGACTTGAGCTCCGCAAGATCGATGAGAGGCGTCGGCGGGGGCTCAGAGAAATCCTTGGCGGCATTGCCATTCTCCAAGTCCTTGCTCATGGTGGAGAGGGCGGGCGGGCGCTCTCACAAACACGAAAGGCTCGAGCAAGGAAGGGGAAAAGAGGAACGAAGCAGTGGTTTCTTTATAAATGGCCGCTAAATCAGAAAAGTGTGTTTAAATATCGAGTTTGAATTAAACGACTCTCTTTCCCGCTAATGCCGCCCTAGCTCAGTCGGCAGAGCGCAAGGCTCTTAACCTTGTGGCCGAGGGTTCGAGCCCCTCGGGCGGCGATTGAATCTCTGAGCTATTCAAATTACAATTTGTTTTACATCGCTTGACGTTACGCTGGCGTAAAGGTTGGATCTTCGAGAACCGCCAAAAGATCGAGAAGTTTGTCTAGGCCGTGCTGGAGACAACCATAAAGTTTGAAATCTCTTGCTCGTCGTCCATGCTCTTCTTGATACTTTCTTTAAATCACTAAACTTTAACTTCATCCACGAGCCATGCTCTTCAAGATATTTTCTTACCAACCTCTAAACTAACTACCAAAGTTCCACTTCAAGATATTTTCTTGCCAACACTAAGCAACTACCAAAGTTCTTAAAATCTCTCTGCAAGATATGTTCTTGCCAAACTTTGTTCACCCAAACTATTTACCGTTGAAAATCTTAGTACATTCAGCAAGCTTAAAGCACGCCGCAATGAGAATTTTTTGTATTTTCATTTTGTTTTTACACGCAGCACTTGTTCCTATCACGAACTGGCTGGCTTTTGTTGAGTTCTAATAAGTCGACCATGAATGCCATCAGCATTGATCTTCACGCGGGACGTAGCAGCACACTGTCACTCGCCCAAACAAGCTCCTGGCCTGGAACAGAGATTTTGTTTTTGGTACACTCAGTGTTAGCAGAGATCTTGATAAAAAAATGAAGTGAAAGAACTTACGAGATGGCTGCCACTCCTGGTCTGCTTGATCGATGCCTGCTTCCTTTGCCAGCGAGCACAGCTCGTCATCCTGTTGAGAATGTTGCGCTGGTAGCTAACGTCGCCAAGCTCCGATGGAGCAAAGCCCGGATCGATCGTCTCCAGAGAGTCGACTCGGTCAATGATCTTGAACTTGGCGGCGTCCCGTTCGTCGTCCATGGCTCTGCTCTGGAACGAGAATGACTTCCTCGGACTCTCGATGTTTGGAGCCGGCGAGAAGTAAACCGATCGAGCGTCTTCGTCGGAGCTCTCGCCACAGTCTTTGTTGGTGCCTGGCTTCTTGTGATTCTCGTCGCTGCTGAGAGACGAGGATCTGTCACTGCTGTTGACCTCGCTCACTGCCTCTTCAAACGAGTCGTTTGTAGTGGCGAATGAATTCGAGCGGAGCATCGTCAAGCAGCCCGTCGGCTCCCTGTTCTTGTTCCTCCGGATGAGAAGAGCCGAGAGACTGCTTCGCTTGCTAGATCCGATGAACGACGTGAAGCTGCCTGTCGACGATAAGTTTGCTGCGTTGACATCCCCGGAGAAAGAGTGCTGTGGCGTGTGATAGTGCGAGCGTCTCGAGGACGACGCCGACGAAAGCCTGTTACTGTTGTTGCTGTTATCCGCAGGGTGGCTGCTGGACCTCATGGAGCTGTTGTAATCCAAAACACTTACTGGTGAGAGGTCCTCCTCCTCGTCCGAATGAGCAGCACCGTTCTTCTTCGACAGCGAATTGCTTGAGCCGTTGTGCGGTGAATTCTTGAGCAGAAGCGTCGCCTTTGTGGTCTTCGAGGAAGCCCTTCCTGGAGGATTCAGGCGCGTTTGAAAGTCGGGCTGCTTCCTGTGCGGCTGTATCCACAGCAAGCTTCTCAATCTCTCGGACAGAGAAAATGTCTTCTTGCTGCTCCTGCTAGAGTACACGACCATGCTCCGGGAGTGGAACACTGGCGGAGGCGTAAGCGGGCAGTCGAGAACTTCCCGACACGTCAATGGATCTCTCGGTATGCCAGGCTCCATCTCCCACTTGAACGCGACTGTCCGTTCCTTGAAATGATCCGCTGGCTCGCCTGAGACTTCGCTGTTCCGGGACTCCAGGAAGGAGCGAGGGGCATTTTCTAAGATGTGAACTGAGTGCCTGTCCGGCTCGCCGGAGTCCTCCCCTTCAGATTCAACCTTGACAATTGCCTTGCAAACTTCTCCAGAGAAAGCCTCCCTTGTTGAATCCGACACTTCAGGAGCTGATTTTCTCTCCTGCTTCGGAGTTCCAGGAGCCAGCTCCCAGGCGAATGGAACAGCACTGGGAGGTCCCAACCATCCTGAATCATCGTTGAAGCTGTGGGGATCATCCGGCTCGAAGCACGCTTGATCCAGCAGAATCATCTCCCGCACGATCATCGTCATCGTCACTTCAAGCTTTCAGGCCTGGAAAAACACAACAGTTTAGCCCCAGAGACCGGTTATGCCGCCTCGCATTTTTTTCAAAGAAAACCGAGCAAGCCCTACGAGGAACGTAGCCAGCTAGAATGGACCACTGCCACTAAAGCCATGACGCCACCAAAGATGCAGAGTTTCACTTTCGAAAGGAAAAAGAGGCTCAGGGAAAAGGCCTCGTCAGTACGTTGCGCAATGCGCACTGAGCGAGCGCAAGGTCGATCTCACAGCTCGACTCGATAGATGCAAGCAAACCTCGAAGAAGAAAGAAAAGGCCAAGGACGAACAAAACAAAGGCAGCAGCGCAACCTTTCTAGCGAGCACTCGTAAGTTGAGAGATCTTGACCTCTTTTGCCGTTTCCGTAAGTTTGCGAAGCCTTTAGAGAATTCGCCCAACACATGCCAGTGTGACAATCTCCACCGAACTGCATTTAAAACGGACACGCATGAGGTTTTTTTTTTTCAGAAAACAAAAAACAAACAAGAACAATCTGCCAGGAGAGGAGCTATACCTTCACAGTAATAAACCGCGCGTCCCTCTCAGACCAGCTGCTACAGCTCCTCTCCTCTACCTCTGAAAGCTCTGGAGCACTTCACGCGATTAGGCAGTGGTGTTTCGAGATGGACCAGAAAGAAGAAAAAAAAGGAGAGAGAGAGAGAGAGAGAGAGAGAGAGAGAGCCCGATAAATTCGGAGCTTAAAAGTTTGCCACAAATCCTCGGCCCAGCCAGCAGCCATCCATCCAAAGCGCTCTTCCTGCCCAGTGCTTTAAAGCGCTCCCGGACACAAAGGATATTTTCACAGCAGTGGTTGTTGCGAGACGTCAGTCCCTCCCTCCCTCCTTTTCTCTGTTTTAAGAGAGTCCCACGGTCAGTCCCACAACGGAATTGTAGAAACGCGACACCTGTGCGCGGAAATTTGGGAACGAAGACGATTTCCACGGGATCTTTGCGGCTGATGGAGTAGCGGCATACACGCCACTCACGATCGATCGATTAGAGCACCTCGATCGATAGAACGAGCAGACCTAACCGAAAGGAACATCAAAATCTGCGAGAAATCGGGATCAAACCACGCCAATCGATCATCTTACCAGGCCGACAGCAAACGAGGGCGGTCCCGCGAATCACGACGGCGGCGACGCGACGAAGAACACGACGAACGGCGAGACAATGCGAGAATAAATAACACTACGAAGCTCTGGGGCAAACGAAGACCCCCGATTATTCAACTCCTTAGTTTAAAATGGCGGGAAATTCAAACGGTGTTTATCTTGGGACAAGGGCATCGCGACAAGTCCTGTGGCTTTCTAGGGGCATAGGGAGCTCGCGTCGGAACTTTAGAAGTTTCGCATAAACCCTAAAATACGATCCTAGATTTTACCATTCAGTATTTTCCGGGTCAACATATCTTTGCGCCTGCAACCTTTCTTCCCCTACATTTGGAAGTCTAGAAGAAATTGGATAGTGATTTTCTATTTTGCGTAGGATCAGATGCTGGCCAGTGGCTCTTAGCAACATGTGTTTGGATTCAACTTCCGTGATTGAATCGAATAAAGCTACGAACGATCGATCCCGATTTCTTCAACGCTGGAGCATGGGGGCCTTTTGGAGGTTTACACGCGATTAGAAGCGTGATCCAAACGTTGACTTTGTCATGAAGGATCCGTGGAATGTTCCGTGTTGAATCCACTTGCACAAGCTTTTGTTGGCATCGATCAAACAGGAGGCCAGTCTCATGAGAAGGATGTGACTGAAATAAAATCATGGGGCCAAAACTCACGCATTTTTCGCTGGCTGTTGGCTTTTGATTCACGCATTGGGCTGGGAGAACTTGTTTTCGTTCAGTGCTCTTGATCTTGGCCGCAAAAGGTTAAGTTGGAGATTTCGTGTTTCGGTGTGGAGCTACGTGAAACTTTGCAGGACAAGGAACATGGAAGAGTGTCATACATTTCAAACTTGGTCGTTATCAAAAGCACGCACAGGACATTTAAGACCATGGGTCAAAAGAAAGAAAAAAAGGAGAGAGATACTTTGGACGCTTCAACCACTGAGACCTAACGTTCCACTATAAGAAAAGTTGACGGTTTGATCGTTCTTTGGAATGTTTAGGGTTCATGATTTAGGGCTTAGGGTTTAGGGGCTAGGGTTTTATGTGGCAATGGTGAGTGACGGCGAGGGCAACAAGAAAGACAAGGAAAAGGATCGCAAGAAGCGGCAGCATGTGTCGATCATCGCCAGGCCACTAGCGGGCAAGCGCCTTTGTAAGAAGACGCTCAAGCTCGTCCGGAGAGGTATGGATCTAGAAGGAAGAATGAATGCGTGCAATAGCCGATGATGTTTGGATCGTTTTGATTCTGGAATTACCGGCTTAAAGGCGAGGATCTCTTCGCCTTGATGCTGCGATTTGGCTGCTGAGGCTTTTCTGCTTTATTTCTCCACTTTTTTTTTCTCTCTCTCTTTTTTTGTTCTTTTGGCCGATGATGTTTCGTTTTTCTGGAATTACCGGCTGAAAGACGAAGTTTTGCTTCGCCTTGGTGCTGCGACTTTAGGCTGGCTGAGGCCCTGTGTTTCGTTCTTAAGTTTTTTTTCCTGCTCTTGGTCTTTAGGCCTATGATGACTTAATTTTTCTGGAATTACCGGCTGAAAGGTGGGATTTTTCTCGCCTTGCTGCTGCTATTCGCTGTCTGAGGTTATCTTTTCTTACAAGTATTACTCTCTTATGTGACAAGATTTGCGGTCTTTGTTTTTGCAGCGGCTCAGAACAAGCAACTCAGGAGGGGAGTAAAGGAGGTCGTAAAAGCTGTTCGCCGGGGACAGAAGGGGTAAGAGCTTCCAGTTTGCAATCTTACAGTGCCAGATCCATCTTTCTGCTTTCTACTTTGCAGGCTCTGTGTAATCGCAGGAGATATCTCACCAATCGATGTAATCACACACTTGCCAATACTCTGCGAAGAGTCGGACATTCCTTACATCTACGTTCCTTCAAAAGAGGCATCGTTTTTGTTTCTCATCCTTTTTTACCTTTGTACTCATTCCTTTTCTATCTTTTCAGGATTTGGGAGGCGCCGCCGCTCAGAAGCGTCCGGCTTGCTGCATGCTGGTGCTGTTAAATCCTGTCAAAGGCAAGCTGGAGGACGAAGAAAAGCAAGGCTTCATGGAGGATTACACGGACGTCTCCAAAGAGGTCAAGTCTCTCGCCAGCACAATCTACTAAAATTCCCGATCTTTGTCTGTGATTTGATTTGTCTCGAGACAGGAGCTCCAACTTATGCTCGCTCGAAGTTTAACATTGACAAATCTTTGTAGAGACCAGGATCAATCGTAGAAGGTTGTCAGCTTCTTCTATTGTACGAACGCAAATATCACATGCCGTACGTGGTTTTGTTTTCTTCTCTTTTTTTGTTGTTTGCGCAATAGATGGCATGCAAGATATTTCGATGCTTTTCCGACACGTGGACGGTGGAGATTTCTTCTTCCCAGTTTAAATCCCGAGTGTGGGAGAGGCTTTGCTTCAATCATTCACGCCATGGCCGCTGCTTCGATAGCATTCTCGTCTCCCCGCCTCTCCTCCGGCAATGGCGTCGCGGAATCGCTCGCCTCGTCGCGCTCCTCCCTTGCCGGCGCGCGCGTCAAGGTAATCTCCTCTCCTCCGGCGGCAATCTCCTGCTCGAGTTCGATTTCCCCAAGCGCGCGCTACGATCTCAACAAATTCTCCTTCGATCCGATCAAGGAGTCGCTGGTGGCCCGGGAGATGACTCGCCGCTACATGACCGACATGATCACCTACGCCGACACGGACGTGGTGATCGTTGGCGCCGGATCCGCGGGCCTCTCCTGCGCCTACGAGCTGAGCAAGAACCCTAACGTGAGCGTGGCGGTGGTGGAGCAGTCCGTGAGCCCCGGCGGCGGCGCGTGGCTGGGCGGGCAGCTCTTCTCGGCCATGATCGTACGGAAGCCGGCCCATCTCTTCCTGGACGAGGTCGGCGTGCCGTACGACGAGCTCGAGCACTACGTGGTTGTCAAGCACGCCGCGCTCTTCACGTCCACGATCATGAGCAAGGTTTTGGCGAGGCCCAACGTGAAGCTCTTCAACGCAGTGGCGGCCGAGGATTTGATCATCAAGGAGGACAAGGTTGCCGGGGTGGTGACGAACTGGGCGCTCGTTTCCATGAATCACCACACCCAGAGCTGCATGGATCCGAATGTGATGGAGGCCAAGGTGGTGGTGAGCTCTTGCGGACATGATGGTCCGTTTGGAGCCGCCGGTGTCAAGAGGCTCAAGAGCATCGGCATGATCGATAGCGTCCCCGGGATGAAGGCGCTGGACATGAACACTGCCGAGGACGCGATCGTGAGGCTCACTCGCGAGGTTGTTCCTGGGATGATCGTCACTGGCATGGAAGTCGCGGAGATCGATGGGGCACCGAGGATGGTAAAGAGGTTTTTGTTCTTTCTTTGTTGTCCGTCTTAACGTTTCTCGGTTCCAGGGGCCGACTTTTGGAGCGATGATGATCTCTGGGCAGAAGGCAGCTCACTTGGCTCTCAAGTCACTGGGCATGCCCAATGCCATCGATGGAACTCTCAAGGCCGGCTATCTCCCAGAGCTGGTTCTTGCATCGGCCGAAGACGACGAGACCACCGCCACGGCGTGATCACTCACTCGAAAAATCTCTGGTTTTACGAGTGGAGTGAATCATCTTCCGAGCGTGTGGTTCTCCATGGGATAAGGCTGCTACTTTCTGTTTTTTCAGTAAGTATTTTTCTGTTTGCTACTACTTGTTTGGTAATTTGGTTTGCAAGCTTAAGCTCTTGAAACTGATGAAATCTGGCACCAGGGGTGCTTGCCCTGAAAAGAGTCTTTCTTCTGAAAGGGTAGGCTGAGATGAGACCCTCACGACCTGATCAGGATAATTCCTGCGAAGGGAGTGTGCCGACGCTGTGTTTTATTTTTCTGTGCAGGTTTTATGATGATCGCACAGAATCAAGCTTGTGCACCGTATCTCAGATATCCAACTTAAAGTGACTCTATCGAGAATGATAATGAGAAAACCGAGCGCGTCCAACGCTACCATCTTCAATGGTGTGAGCGACCCGGCATTTCCTTCCCGAATTTATTTTGTGTTTGGACTTCGTAAACTTAGAGCTAAGAATATTGTTTACTTTATTCTATTTTAAATTACTATTGGCAAGGTTTGACGTTTTTTTGGGAGACCGATGTCCTAAATGACTAGTCTAAGCTGTTTTTCTGAGCTTGTGACCAGAACAAGGGGTAAAGAGCAAATTGTTAATCCTTGTTGAGTGGACCCTTCGGCATAGCCATCATCTCAGCAACCGGGTTCTTACAATAAAATATCATACCATATAATTAAACAAACCCCGTATTCTCGGTGCATGGTGGACTTGGCCGCGCGGGACGCGTGGATGACGCGCGGTACATTCTTGCCCCGTGCGACGTGGACGCGTTGTGGAGGTGGCCATGGATATAATAACTATAGACAACTCAAGTAGAAGACCGGAATTCATTTATTTGCTGCAAAGAGATTGATTGATGACGGGCAGAACGTAATGCTGAAAGTTCCTCCGGTTCCAGTAGCAAAAGTCTTGGTGTCGTCACCAGACCAGCTATAAGCATCCGGGCATGAGGCACGGACGTTCCGCGCGTACTGCGAGTTTGGATCGTTCCTGTTGGGACTGGCGCAAGTATTCCCATTCCTGTTCTGGGGAGGACAAGTTCCAGCATCCGCTCGGCAAGTCAGACCCCTGCCAGATCCAGTGATGCTCATCCCAGTGCCGATGAAGAAGCCATCCACGGCGCTGATGTCGTAGAAATCAAGGTTCCTGTTGCTGTTGATCGAGAACTCGGCCAGGAGGCCGGGAGTTCCAGTGCCGATGTTTCCCGCCCAGCGATTCGGAGGACTTAGTCGGCGAGATGCGCCGGGGGAGAGAGTGAATCCGGAGGTTCCAATCGAGGGGCCTCCGGCGTTCTCGCGGACGATGATATTAAGCGAGCCCCCGCAGCGATTGACAACGTTGAAGGAAGTGGCTGCTGCGAGTGGGATTGCTGCAAAACAAAGACTTAAAGCAACAAGAGCAGCTAGGAGCGCATTAGAGCTTGCCATTGGAATTATATATGATACGTTCTCTATTTCAAGTTTCTTATATAGTCTAGATGTGAAAGAGTTTGTGCATCACACGCAAACGAACATGGCAAACGAACATGGGCGAGCGATCGGCAGTGGGTAGGAAAAATTCTTTTTTGCTCACATCCATATTCATGCAAACACGTGGTTTGAGCTTAAGACTATATCAATTACTTGCAACACTAAGTAGCGATGATCTGGCGCTGCCACACTGTGTGATGAGGTCTAAATAATCTTCTCAAGTCCAATCTTGGATTCAAGTAGTATTATAAGTTGCGCTCTTGTTTTGACCGAGGAGATTTCCGATACGTAGAAGAAAGACGACGATTTATGATTCTAATAACTTTCAGCCGAAGAGGATATTTCTTGGTGTCAGGCGATCGTAATGCTCTAGGGCGATGATCGATGGATCGACAGGATTGATAGATGGAGAGCAGCGATAGAATGGAAGCGCCAGCGATGATCCCGCGCAAGAGGCGAGGCTTTCGCAGGCCGTCGCTCAATCCCGACTCCACGGCTCGCAAGAAGCTCAAGTTCAAGGATCAGGTGTCGCTGGATATAGTTTCGGCAGATTTCCTGCTACCAAATGGCGAGGTTGTGAGCGGCGTGGAGATCAAGAGATCTTCCTACGAAAATGTGGATGCCTTGCTCGACGATCTTGCAGAGCGGCCTGCAGATGGTCCCGATGGGGTGCGGAAGCTCGATTGGAGCAAGGAAATGTGGGTCGAGGATGAGAGTGGCGAAAGAATCGATGATATCGGGAAGCTTTTCTCCGAGGGCGCGCGGAGGAAGATCCTTGTCCAGGTATGTGGCTCTTCATTTCCACTCCCTTTCGAGTTCCTTTTCTCAGCGTTTTTTGTGTCTCCAGGATGGGAACAAGCGCACGGTTCACCGGTATTGGGTAAGCAATCTTGTTTGTTTTTCGTTCCATCGGTTTCGTTTTTTCTTTTGCAGTGGAACGTGACACCAGAAGTTGAAATGCTAGAGAGGCTCCCGGACGGATACACGCTAGAGACAGCTCTAGCCGATCATGTGGTATGGATGAAACGGCCTTTCTCCGTGTTGGAAGATTTTCTCTCTTTCTTTTTTTCACAGGACAATGCACTGCAAGCAGTGTGGGAGAATCAACCAGGTTTCAGGCGACTCGTCAGGTAGATTCTTTAACTCTCTTTCGTTCTGTTCTTGTATACTCACGAGAGCTAGGTTTTGCCTCAGCGTGGAGATTGATCAAGATACCATTACAATCTTTGATACGGGAATGGGAATGGATGCCACGGCTCAAGATTCAATCGAGAAATGGTACGTAGTTTGATTACTTCTTGCTATGGCTGACACGAATGCGAGTAGGGGAACCGTGGGAGCTTCCAATCACCGGAATGTTCATCGACAGGGAATTGGCGGCGATCCTCCATTTCTCAAGGTATCTGTGTGATATTCGTTGGTCCTCTCGATCATACTTTGGGTTGTAGCCTTATCTTGGGAAGTACGGTGCTGGAGGGGTCGCTGCTGCTCTCTTCCTTGGCTTGTAAGTCGTCCATTTCTTCTTTATTGGAAACTGGTTGTTGGCTTCGGATCTTCAGGTCTGTGGAAGTTCGCTCGAAGACGAGGAAGTCCAAGCGAGTGGTCAGCCTCAAATTCAGCAAAGCTGCAATGGAAACAGGAGGAGGCAGTCGGATTTGGAGAACCCGCGGAGGCTTTCATCTGATGACTGAGGAGGAGGCTAAGAAGTCACCTCACGGAAGTTTTACTTGTGTAAGTGTGTGTGATTGATTCGCACTACTGTTTAAACTCGACTTGGTTTTGCGTTGCAGGTGAAGATATCTGACCTGAAATCTTCTGCGTGTATCGAAGGACAACGGCAGTACTGGGTCTTGAAGCAAGTGAAGCAAATGCTCAAAGACATATATTCTCTGTATATCCAGGTAAATCTAATATGACTGAGACTAAAGTGCATTGTCTGTCACCTTTTTTTATTACAGTACGATGGTGTTGGGAGCTCGAGTGGAACTATGACTCCTGTTGAGTTTGAGGTGCTGTGATTATAATTGACTTCAGAAATTCCGAATGTTTTAATTGTAGGTGAACGGAGAGAATTTGCTGGAGGAGCTTGGCGGCGAGATTACAAGCTGCAACCAGCACTCTTCCCCTGGAGAACCGTTTATTCTAGATCTGCGCCTTGTTTCTGGTAAGAGCCCGAACTAGTTCTATCGCTCGTTTCTCACTCTTGTTCTCAGCGTCTTCGGAGGAAGCCCATGCACGTTTGACATGCCAGTACTTTCCAAGCATCAAGGTATACTCCATTTTTAATCAGAAAAATTCAGACTCTAATGGAGCTTTGTTTCAGGGAAGGGAAAAGCTGAGTGACGTCATTGAAGATCTAAAGAGTTGCAGAAAAGACTTCAAGGAAAACTTCGACACATTTCCCAGGGTGGGACTGAGATGGTTGGGACGACTTCTGCCGAATGCAAGATGGGTAAACCAGATTAGTATACCAGTTACCATATTTCTGACATTGATCTCTACAGAATAGCATGCCGTTTATGGATGCAGCTTCTAAAAAGAGTGTGCTACGCTGGATAAAGAGGGTGAAAGTGTTTGCAGGCAAGAGATACACATTCTATCCTCGCAGTGGTTTCTTAACATCGAATTTCCAGATGTGGATGCAGGGTTCCATCCAACCCCAAGCAAGACGAAACTTGTGGAGGATCATCCTTTTACGACTGCGTTAAAGCAACTTGGCAGCATGGAAGAGGATACAGTCCCAGCAGGTAAGAGCTTTTGATATGGTTTGTATCCACTCTTGAAATGTTTGTGAATGTTCCAGACGTGAAAACAACGATATACTTTCAAAGCAAGGTGTTGGAGCCTCCTCAGGTCATTGCCGAATTTGCAAACTGGACGAAGAGAATGCATGAAGAATTTGACCGGGAGGTCGAATTTGGAGACGATCCCACATACGTCATTGGCCAAAGTGAATTGAAAAGGCTTCTAAAGGTCGAAAAAGAAGGTAAGCTTTTTGCGTTGATCTCGTTCATGCGTATGACAAACTAACTTTTACATTGTTTCAGTTCTCTGTTTTCACAAGTGCCTCAAAGATCCGCGTGGGGACTGGAGAGCGGGCGATATGGTGAAGCTACAGAAAGAGCTATACAAAGGCAAGCAAAATTTCTACGGTGTCATCGAGTGGTTCTTCTGCGATGGAATCGACGAACAATACGGGGAAGTGAAGATGGTTTGCAGGCCCGTGGAGCTACTGACTACGGAAGAAGAGAGCAAGATTGAGACGGCACAGATTTGCAGCTTCAAGCTCAACAGGTGCAGGTGGTTTCCTTGCAGCGTTCTGAATTCGGAGAAGTGCCACCGCATGACTCCAAGTGAGTGGCATACACAGGAGAATCGGCTGAAGGGAAAGCTGCCGGCATTCGTAGAGCTTCTCAACAACGACGACAGGCGAGTGTTTGGGGGGAAACATCTGCATCGGAGTAACCTCACGTTCGAAGCGGGATACGTGCTCCAAATCGACTCGTTTCTGGTCGTGGTGCGTCCACAGCAAGGCACTGGAGCGAGTTGCAAGCAAGCGGCGATTGTTGCAGACCCCCACCGGATGAAGGCGGAAGTGCATTTCTCGTCGAAAGATCGTGACGAGACGAAGATGCAAGGGTGCTACTACGCGGAGGTTGAAGCCAGAAACGGTATCAAGGGAATCTATGCCTTCGCTGCGGGCACAATCTTTCCAGATCTTTGCAAGGCTGGGAAGTACAAGGTGGAGTTCTCGATTGATGGGCATCCGGACCTTAAGCCAGCAGTTTGGGAGGTGAATATCAAATCCTTGGAGTTCGTTTCCAGATGGCATGTTGATACCAAGGCATGCACCGGGATTACGTACGTAAGCTTATCTTTTATTGCTATTAACTACTATCTATGTTCTAAATTCTACAGCTTGGAGGAGCTAGTAACGCAGAACTTTACTGTTCAGGGATTTGACACCTACGACAATCTGGTGCCATTCTCACAGCCTTGTCCGAATTTGTGCATGGTTCTCGAGACATTGGAGAGCACGAGGCTTAGTACAGTTTCGCTTGGACGTGAGAGCGTGAGCTTTTCCCAAAAGAAGGACAAAATGAATGTCGGAGTAAGTCTCAAACCTCTTTTCGGGTTTGCTTATAATGTCTGCTCCACAGAACTTCATAGTTCGGGGCTGCATACTGCCGGCTCACGACGCTCGTCTATGCTTCTACGTTGGAAACCAGAAGCTTGGACACTGGAGATGTCAAGGTTATCAGCTGTTATCTTGATAGCTTCGGTTGTTTCTTCCTCAATGACGCTCTGTTTTTCTTCCGCAGTTTATCCTGGCAAGCTTGCACGACTGGAGCTTGTGAATAGCTCTCTCGAGCTCGCTCCTTCTGGATCGATGTTTTGCGTCAAGCAACCACTGGATCCCGACAGTTACTTCCCGTGCATGGTGTTCAAGGTAGGCACTGTTCTTCTCATTGCACCATATTAATGTAGATTGTAATGCTGCAGGGATTCGATGAATGGGGAAACTCCGTTAGCCAGGGAACTCGGATGCGTCTCCAGCTATCTGGCGTACACCTCTCACAGCAAGAAGTC